GTGGTGGTTTCGAATCATACATACATACACCCCACCGATGAGGATACAGCATTTTTATAAACGTTTGCAGATAAAATATTTTAAAAAGAAATTCTTTATAAATTAAAAAATAAAAATTAAATTAAAAATTAAAAAAAAAACCTGAATACAAACGAACACAACAATAACAAAAGTGAAGCGGTCCATGGTAGTAACCTGTCGCTCGTCGGTATCCTGAGCTGCGCATACACCCGAAATGCTGCATTTATTTTGTTTGCAATTCATGAATAAATTGAAGTTTTTCGAGGAATTTTAGATATTTAAACGCTTCCTTTTTATATTTCATGAAGAAAGTTGGGTGGGGGGGATGCAGGCAGGCAGGTACACAGCTGCACTGTTAGGGTGTATGCAGCAGCAGAAACTTCGTAATTTCTCTTTTTTTTTGTTTAATGTATTTATATTGACGAATTAAATGCGATGCATCCATCGAGCTGTCTCGTTTCTGCGAAAGGCAGATGCTAACACGCACGGCTTCCTTCATATTATATTATATTGTAAGGATATAATATAGCGGGGTGGTGGTGGTGGTTTCCACCTTGAATGAATTGATGCTGTATAGACACTAGTTTCACAGCTAGTAGTTGTTTTGTATGTTGCTGCTTAAACAGCTCTTCTCTTCTCCTTATTAAACTGAGGCATCTGTATCACTTGTTTTTTTTTTCACAAATACTCTGGTGTATTCTACAATTTTAATATCTCTACAAATTCACTTTTTCTTGCATAAAAAAAAGAAAAAACAGAAAGCAGACAGAAAAAGCTTGAACGCACAGTGTTGCAGTGTATGCGGAGGTCGTATCATCACATCTTTGTAAGAGGTAAATAGAAAGAAGCAAAATATAAACAGCAGAATACACAAAAGTATTTATGAAATGAAAAACAAATGATTACAGTTTAATTGTTTATCTTTTTTATACATTTGTGTTCTTTTGTTTGTATACACTCTATTGCACAGCCACAACGCGTGGTTGTTGTTTCGTGTTACTGATGAACTCTAAGAGGGGTAAGCGGCATTCATATCGCTGCTGTATTCTTCTCTTCCTTGCGCCGCAAACACCCAAACCCCGAAAGAAAAAACTAACAAACAAATAAAAATTATAAACAGCAGAAATATACTACTTTTTAGGAGTTTCATACAGTGGAAACCAACAAACTTGAATGTCTCGCTGCCGCTTCATTCTGACGGCGTTGTATCCCTGCTGGATATTTATGCATTCCAGCTGCAGAAAGAAAATAAATATAGAAAATATAAAAACACAGAAAAGCTAAACTTCTTCTTAGTTTCAGTTTCGGGGGTTAAACTCTGGAGTTGTACGGTGGTGTTGCAAGTCGTGCAGAACACTCCGCGGCGACGGAAATGCAATTCAAGTTTCCCGGGTGATATTCATGAAAAAAAAAACAACACATTTGCAATTTCATTTATTTTCAACAAAATAAAAACAAAATATTCGAAGAAATTCAAATTTTTTTTTCGCAAGTTCTGAAACGCTCGGGTGGTGTACGGTGACCTCCGTGAGCGGCGTCTGGTTCTGTTGCGGTTTCTGCGGGAAACCTGATATATTTCGTTGCGTATTCTGCTTTATGAATCGTAAAAAGTATTTTATTTCAAAAAAAACATGAAATAAAACATAAAAAACACAAGAAGCCGCCTCCCACTGCAGTGCCAATGGTCCGTCTGCCTGCTGCATGCTCAGACCTAAGCTGCTCTGGCTGCGTGTTCTCCAAACTGAAGGCGTTTCGTTCATGAATTTTCAACTCTTTGGTTTTTTCAGAAGTTTTCGTCATAAAAAGCGAGGCAAAGGAAGAGCTTTCTTCGTCGCTTTCCCGCAGCTGATCTCGGTTCCTCTCGGTGTTGAACGGCAGCGGTTTGGCCCGCCAACTGAAGAAAAAAAGGAAAGCAGCCCATATATCCCCTCCTTTTTTGTTTTAATAACACAAATTTCAGCTGATGAAGACAAAAAACAAAAGAAAAAACGCACAGTTTCCGGGGGTGGAGCGAACCCCGACGACCACGGGAGCAGCAGTCTGCACAGCGGTGCAGTATGGAGGGCAGACAGCCCATGGACCTTTCGCAGCCTCCTGCTGCTGCTGCAGCAGCAGCAGCAGCAGCTGCGGCAGCAGCAGCAGCAACGGGGGCGGGCCCCACGGCAGCAAGAGTAGTTTCTTCAGCGCCGCCAGCAGTAGCCAGGGAGGATCCGCTTTCTATGGGTAATTCAGCAGAACCTGCTGCGCCGCACTTCATAGATATGCAGCAGCAGCAGCAGCTGCAGCAGCAGCAGCAACAGCTGCTGCAGCAGTATGCTCATGGTACTGGGGCTGAGGACCCCTTTGCGTTGCAGCAAGGCCTCGCCCCTCAGCAGCAAACGGCAGACGGCCACTTAACTCTTGGGGTTTCGGGGCCCCTTGCTGCTGCTTCAGCTCTTCAGGGGCCCCTGCAGCAGCACGCGGAGCAGCAGCACATGCGGGCAGTGTTGTCAGACCCACAGCACTATCGCCTGCAGCAGCAGCCCTGGACGACGCAGCAGCAACAGCAGCAGCAGCTGCTGCAACAGCTGCAGCAGCAGCCCCTACACCAACCCCAGCATCATTCACAGCCACTTCAACCGTTGCAGCCTTTAGAGCACCTGCATCAGCAGCAACAACTTCAGCAGCAGCAACTTCAGCAGCAGCAACTGCAGCAGCAGCAGCAGCTTCAGCAGCAGCAGCAACTTCAGCAGCAGCATCAATCGTTGTCACGACGACAGTCGGTGGAAGATTCTGCTGCTGCAACTGCTGCCGTACCAACTGCACTGCAGCAGCACGTGCAGCAGCAGCACTTCTTTGCTCCTCAGCTCTCTCCTCCCGTCCTCCTACAGCAGCAGCAGCAGCAGCAGCAGCAACTGCCCGCTGCTGTTGAAGCCGCCCACATTGTTGTAGATGCACAGCAGCAGGGGCTTCTGCCGCTTCAGGCAGCTGAAATGCAGCAGCAGCAGCAGCAAACAGCACTACAGCAGCAGGCAGCTCTGCAGCAGCAGGCGGCTCTGCAGCAGCACGCAGCACTGCAGCAACAAGCAGCACTGCAGCAGCAGGCAGCACTGCAGCAGCAAGCAGCGCTGCAGCAGCACCAGGCAGCGCTGCAGCAGCAGCAGCAGCAGCAGGCGGCGCTGCAGCAGCAGGAAGCCCTGCAGCAGGACCGGTGGACAGCTGCTGGGGAGCTGCAGCAGCAGCAGCAGCAGCTGCTGCTGCAGAGCCCGCTGCTGCAGCAGCTGCCTGCGCCGCCCGAAGCTATGCCGAGTAATCCCATTTCTGCTGCTGCTGCNTGCTGCCGTTGCAGCAGCAACAAACGGTACCACATCAAATGCAAGTTGAGGAGCTGCAGCACCAACAACTGCTGCAGCAGCAGCAGCAGCAGCTGTTGCATCAGCATCAGCACCACCTACTGCAGCAGCAGCAGCAGCTGCTGCAGCACGATCAGCAGCTCCAGCACGAGGCCGGGGCTGCCTTAGAACAACCTGCAGTGCTTCATCAGCTGCAGCACCAGCAGCTGCTGCAGCAACAGCAGCAGTTGCAGCACCAGCAGCAGCTGCAGCAGCAGCAGCAACAGCAGCAGCTGCAGCAGCAACAGCAGCAGCTGCAGCAGCTCCAGCAGCAGCAGCAGCGGCGGTGGAGTGCCTTCGGCGGATTTGTTCTGCAGGCAGTGACAGCAGCAACGGAGCAAGAGCAGCGGCTGCTGCAGCAGGCAGCGTTGCAGCAGCAGCAGCAGCAGCAGCAGCAGTTGGCACTAGGTGCGTATACGCCCGACACAAGCTCCGCGCAGGCTTCAGCACGTGCAGATGCAGCAGCAGCAGCAGCAGCAGCAACTGCTGCTGCTGCTGCTGCTGCTGCAGCACCAGAA